GCTTAGCAGAGGCATACATGAGGTGTACATGAATATTTGATGACAGCGTTGACAGAAGTTGGGTATCTTGGGATCATACCTTTAAGAATATGACCTGAGAGAGCATACTGGAGAAGAGTAATTCGGCCGATAAGTTCAGTTTTCCAGAGGTTACTGGGGGTTCTTGTAATAGTAGGAATCACTTGGTATTGATTTTTTACCAGTGACTCACGTAGACACTTATGTGGATTGAGGATGATTGGAATGATTGAGGAGCTGCATGGGCCTTATACAGGATTTAACTGCCTGCAACTGAAGGTTGTCCTTGGGGGATCATTTAACCTATGCATTTATCACTTCCAAAAATGTGTGGCACCCTGTACCATAGCCACCTCAGGCCTGACGCATGCCCACAGTGCACGTACCTGCAGCCATGCTACATCACTTCTATGATGGTGTAGCATCAGCTCGACGATGACATCATCTTGAACTAACGCCGACGGGGGCGATAGCTGCTTCTACCCTTCGTTTCCACCTCTGGGGGCCCCTCATGGCAAGCTGCCAGGCAGTGACTTGGCCTATCTCAAGCTCCTCACGACAGGTTTGATCGATCTGCCCTAGCCATGACTTCCTAGGTCGTCCTACAGGCCTCCAACCAGAGCTGTCTCATACAGAGACAACCTGGTGGGCAGGATCATCCTGTGGGAAGCGAGCCTGAGTTGGCGATCATGGATTATGCAGGTAACAGGTCCTGTGCCAGTCTCACAGTGCAATCGTTGGTTGGACATGTGATCCCGCCAAGAGTACCCAATGATTCAGCACAAAGACCTATTAAAGAAGACATCAAGACGAGACTCTAAGTTACAGGATAATGTCCAGGTTTCACTACGTTATAGCAAAACTGGCATTAAACGCATAGCTTGGTCCTTCTGCACAGGTACAGGTATCTCCAAATACTCTTATTAAGAGAGTTCATAACCCTTGCTGCCAGGCCAATAAGTTGAGAACTACACTACCAAGGTATGTAAAGCTTTCTGTGACTTCAATGTCCTCGCCGCAAGCACATACCAACCAAGCAGGTTCTTCTAGCAAGCCCCCAGTCCTGGATCTTGGTCTTGGTCCAGGAGACCCAGATCCAAGGGCTTTGCTTCAATACTAAATGCAAGAGGCAATACTAAGGTTTCCAGAGACTTAGAATAGCAACATCATCAGAAGAGTTAAGGTCAGTAACTTTGATATTGCCCAGAGTTGCCCCACAATGGCTTTGTACAGTAGCTCTGCCCAGTATCCAGTCCATGCACAAGTTGAAATGTTGGTGCAAGGACACAGCCTTGCCTCACTCCTGAACTAACAGGAAAGAAGCTCGACAGCCACCCACCACACACACTATACAGCACATTCGGTACCAGTATACAGGCTTGCTATTAGTCCAATAACCCTTGTTGGAATTTTCAGTCTCAGGATCTCCCAAAGTGATTCCCGATGTACCATATCGAACGCCTTCTTGAGATCGATGTAGGCTGCAAGTAGCTCATACCCAAACTCACGACGGCGCTCTACAATGACACGAAGCGCAAGGATACAGTCAATTGTGGACTTACCAGGCGGGTATCCAGATTGCTTTGGCCTCTGGTGCCTCAGTAGGTGGTCTCTGATACGTCTCAGAAGGAAAGTATGCAATCCCCACGCCATAGGTTCACTACCAGCCTTTAACAGTTCAGCTGAGATGCCGCAGATACCTGCTGCTTTACCACTCCTCAGCTTGGAGGTTACCCCCCTAACTTCAGTTAAGGAGGGTGGATCCTTACTGATGGGTGGGTCTGGCAACGGAATATCGTCACTACTCGCATCCAAGATGTCTGTTGGTGGATCAATATAGTGCAACTGCTCAAAATACTCAGCCCAGCGCTCCCGCACCGCAACAGGATCTGAGACGAACACGTCCCCGTCGCAGCTGCTCATGGGCAGGCAACTACGGGACACTATACCGGTGGAAAGCTCACAGTATTTGATCAATGAGTAGTGGGGATTGATGCTACGTGGGAATGAACATACCATAAGGCAACCCACGATATAGATATCGACCCCCTCAAGCCGGGACAGTAAATTGTCACCAGGCCATGGGGATCGTTGGGAACAGTAATGGAAACTGCTGTGTCATGAGAGTACCTGGTGAGGCTGGACTGCAACGGCAGGGCCACGATCAGGAACAAACGCCACCTCCGTCCACGAGATAGCGAGCCCCAGACAGGGGACGGCAAAAGCCAACAAACACAGTGCCAAACCATCCCTCAATCCCCAGACCCTGGCATACCAAGCGACCACCAAGACACGTGGATGACCGCTACATGAACTCCCCCACCTAATGTGTTATCGCGGATATGTACAGGGTATTAGTTTTATTTGTGCGGCTTAATTCAAAGTCTGATTAATTCTGTTTCATTACAGTCACGATGCACGTGTAAATGGGGGAGGAGTGTGGGAGTAGATGATAACTCCTGGCCTGGTCAAAGGGAGATGCCTGCTTACCTCCTTAAAGACTGTAGTAATCCTCGTTCCAAAATAAACTATGAGAACGCAGCTTTGCCTTTACATATGTATCCTTCTCAAAGCCCCCGGATAAAGATGATTTTTTGGTTCATGGGGCGATGTTTGCGGATCTCCAGAATGGTTAATGGTGAAAAAATGTGCCAGACATCAAAGGTCCATATAGTATTATGATCACGTATTGCAGCGAAAAGGGTGAAATTAGTTAAATGTCAAAGGTTGTAGAACGCTGCAGGTTAGTGTATTGGTGAAAAGGGTAAAGAGGGAAGAGCAAATGGAGTGCTGAGGCTTTCAGGACTGACAAAGCTAGTCTATCATCCTTTCAGCACGACTCTTACACTCTGGGATATGGACTGAATAAGGGGATGGAGAGAAAAAAAAATGGAAAAGGAAAGGGGGGAAGACTGAGCTCCAAGGTAGGGGTGATCCCCAACTATGGGCTTCAGGGGAGCATCTGGTCTTTTTTTCACCATTTTCGCCCAGCTTGCCGAAATCGAGTTAAATAGTGTGGTAAATATATCATTAAAATGCGTTCATAACTTTTTGAATTATCAGACAAAACAATCAACAAAGAAACAAACTAAAGTACCAATATATTTAAACATAGGGCCCTGGAACACATGAGAATGATCTGTATCTCCATACTGACCTTATATACATAGTTTTACATCGCCCTGTACTAGTATATTGTTATATCACGAAGTGTTAGGTGAAAAACACGTGCTGTGCTGCCCCAGCTGAGTGCCCGCTGACGTTCGGTTAGGTAGCATGTGATAATCGGTGCCTCGAGAACGATGATATTTTCGACCAGTATTATACGCTGTAAAACCCCAATAGAGCAACAGTAAAGGTAAATAATAGATAATTATATTGTATACAAGCATTTCATACATGATTTGTTATCTATAATGTAAAAAAAGAAAAAAAAATGAAATGGAAAAAAATAACATCATAGTAATTTACATTTTCACGTGTAGCACACGCATTTTCAGTCCGATTTGTATGTATTATGGCTCATTTTGTAGCTGAATAGTAGATCTATTATATCGTGCAATAACGATTTGGGATATTTTCATGTGGTTCTTGTATAAGGGACATTTTCAGAAGACCCTTTCAGGGTGATGAAATAGTATGTAAAATATTCAAATAATAATAATAAGATAATAGTAATAATAAGGTCGACTTCTAAAAATTGGCTTCCGCATATTATAAGTGAAAGATTGATCTATTCAGATATGAAATCAGAATGGCTGTTTTTTTTTTTTTTTTTTTATGGTCAATGTAGGCCTATAGACACCTCAAATCAGCACAACCCTACCACACTATATGTAAGATTTTGAGAAATTGTTACGTGCTTATTTACACCTTGTTTTGTTAATACCAAGATAATCATGAAAAGATAAAAAAAAAAAAAAAAAAAAAAAAAAAAAAAAAAAAAAAAAAATATATATATATATATATATATATATATATATATATATATATATATATATATATCTTGGAAAACCACCTTTGTAGTCTTCAAACATTCCAGAAAATTCAATTTTAGTGTGAAGTGAATGTTTTATGGCTCATTTTGTAGCTGAATGAAAATGTTCGTCACAAAAGTCAAAATCTGAAAAAAAAGACAGCCCCTTTCAGTCTCCATCTCCTACCCCCCTCCCCCCATGACAACAACAGCATTGGATGGGGGGGGGGGGCCTAAGTGTGATAATGGCTTATTTATTTGAGGTAGGGATATTTCTGTATGAGGGTGCATGTCAGATTGTCCATTTATCCTTGACAGTTTTTCACTATGGTAAAAAAAAATCTTTGATAATTTTGATGTCACAAAACAAATTCCTTTCTACTTATAGAAATGGAAAATGCAATTTTTTTATATATTCCTTATTTCACTTGACATCCATCAGTGGAAGATGCTCCAGGACTTTAAAGAAAACATTTCATATACTTTTGCCAACTTTGATTTTAACCCGCTGGTGCCATTTACAAACACTCCATTTTACTTTTGTTTTGTCAATTTCTTGTACTCTAGATGGCTCTAGAGGTGCACTAATCACCAAAGAGCCTATCTGACCCCATCCATTTACCCATTGCATAAATTTACTGTTACTGTTAATTATGCTATTATTATCAACATTATCATTATAGCATCCTAAATAATTATAATCAAAACCCTATCTTCTATTATTGTATTATTAATGACATTATGAACAACATCAATAATACTAATAAATATTGTTTCCAAAAACTGAAGGAAAGAGGGAGGAGGTAAACCAAGCATTTGATTCCTTGGTGAGTCTGGAGTTAATGGGATGACAAAAAAATAAATAAATAATAATAATAATAATAATTATAAGGGCTTCACATACAAATATAAAACATGTATTGGGTTATTCCTAAGATCTCACTTTATATCTGGTTAATGAGAGGTCTTTTTGGGTAGATTTTTATTTTTTAATATTTACATTTTTAATATAAAACAAAATGTATGTACAAAGAGGTACAGGAAGCGCAAGAATTAATAAAAGATAAATCTGAAGAAGAAAAAATCCAGTGTATTGCAGAAAATAAAAGACAACTCTGAAGAAAAAAATCCAGTGTAATGCAGGAAATAAAAGTTCAATCAAAGTAATTAGTAACCTTAAAATATGTCATGTTTTCTTAGAAAATAAGTCTTTAAAAATTTGAAAATTCATTCTAGGTGATGACCAGTATTATGATGATACTGATTCACATTTTCTTAATCTTAGACATAAATTTTATAATCAAGAAAGGATTGCCTTTAGCAAGTGGTAGACAGGCTGATAATTGTATTATATTAAAGAAAATAATACAAAGGTATTCCTAAGAAAATCACTCTATCCTCAGTTATAGAAGCCATCTTACTTTAGTAATTAAACATGGAAATTACTGTGTTTTGCATTCCTCCTCTTGTTTCTTTTTTGTGGAAGATGGGAGATAGTACTTAGAGTAATCCTTATTTTCTTTGTTTAAACTCTGCCACATTGGAACTTTGCCATCAGTTTTCTGAGCTTCGGCAGGTGGAATTTTAGCACCCGGGAGGCGCTCAATTCTTGTCTGACTGGGCAGTGGTGCATTGTGAGTTCCTAAATGCAGCTGGCTTCCTGTAGAACTGGGAGCCAGGGAAGCACTCCTGCTCTTTACTTCTTCATAATTGGTTGCACCTTTACTGAAGTCTGAAGTCACTTCCTGTGTCAGTTAAATAAAAAAAATTAAGGTAAGTATGAGCACTGTAATTTTTATCACATGAAAGGAAAACAGAAAAAGAACACTGATGTACAAGCTGCACAAATAGAATAGTGTTCTAATTTCTAGCTTAACAAAACTTTGGTTTATTATGAAAGGCACTATAGAGAAGGAAATATTACAAGAATTGAAAATATGGTCAGCAATTTGAAAGAAATAGTTATACCTTCACTGGTCCTAATATAGTCTGCCTCCTCATGTTGCTTGTGACTGCAGTGGAATCAGCATGCATCTTCTGCAAATGCTCTTGTTTCTCCTTCTCCAGCTTGGCAATTGTTTCCCTGTGCTGACCAAGTTCAAACTTCTGCCTTTCGCTGCTGCTACGATTTTCCTCAATTGCTGTCTGGTACTGCTTTATCTCAGCTCGCTTGCTTTCCAGTTCCTTAGTTATTTTTTCCCCCAGTTTCTTTTCCTTCATGGCTGTGTCTTTCCATTCCTGAGCCTTTTTCTTGTAATGATCCACATGTTGTTCCATGATCTTACACTCATTCTGCAGTTGTTTTTTATCCTTCTCCAAGTGATAAACCATGTTCTTGAGGCCCAAGACCTGCACTTCCTGCAGAGGAACATTGATAATAAAATTATAGATGTAATGCACAATGAATATAGGGTGAAAGAAAGAGAGAGAGAGAGAGAGAGAGTGTGTGTCTGTGCATCTATGAGTATGTGTGTGCATCTGCGTGTGTATGTGTCTGTGCATCTGTGTGCATCTGTGTGTATGTGTGTGCATCTGTGTGTGTATGTGTCTGTGCATCTGTGTGTGTATGTGTCTGTGTCTGTGTGTGTATGTGTCTGTGCATCTGTGTCTGTGCATCTGTGTATGTGTATGTGTCTGTGCATCTGTGTGTGTGTGTGTGTGTGTATGTGTATGTGTCTGTGCATCTGTGTGTGTATGTGTCTGTGCATCTGTGTGTGTATGTGTCTGTGCATCTGTGTGTGTATGTGTCTGTGCATCTGTGTGTGTATGTGTCTGTGCATCTGTGTGTGTATGTGTTGTGCATCTGTGTGTGTGTCTGTGCATCTGTGTGTGTATGTGTCTGTGCATCTGTGTGTGTATGTGTCTGTGCATCTGTGTGTGTATGTGTCTGTGCATCTGTGTGTATGTGTCTGTGCATCTGTGTGTATGTGTTGTGCATCTGTGTGTGTGTGATGTGTGTGTGTGTGTGTGTGCATCTGTGTGTGTGTGTGTGCATCTGTGTGTGTGTGTGTGCATCTGTTGAGTGTATATGTGGTGTATAATTATAGCAGTCCTCGTGGTGAGTTCACCAGGCCACCGCCACTACTGACTGCTATAATTATACGCCACATGGTAGCTTGCCACCACCACGCTGACTGCTATAATTATACGCCACGCGGTGGCTTGCTCCACACAATGTCCCCAAGCCACGTGTAGTCTCTTCTCCTTCTATAGTATACTATAGAGTGAGTGAATGAGTGAGTGAGTGAGTGAGTGAGTGAGTGAGTGAGTGAGTGAGTGAGTGAGTGTGTGTGTGGTGGTGTGTGTGTGTGTGTGTGTGTGTGTGTGTGTGTGTGTGTGTGTGTGTGTGTGTGTGAGGAGGAGGAGGAGGAGAAAGAGAGATGAAGAAAATGAGGAGAGAGAAAGAATAGGATGTGAGCAAGAGAGAAGGAATACTACGTGAGGGAGAGAGAAAAGGAGAAAAATAAGGAGGAAAAGCAAGAGAAGGGGAGTAACAAGAAGAATTAGGAGTGACAAAAAATGAGACAGAGGGGAAGAAAGAGAAAGAGAGAATGAAAATAAGTTCAACTTATCTACTATCTATACTTTTTTTCCCCTATACTGAATATCAACCACATAAAAAGAACAATTTACTGCTCAGGTTATTGGAATGGAAAGAAATACCCAAAGAACCACAGCTTACCATAACAACACCACTTCCACTGCTGTAATCAAAGCTTCCCCCTTCACAATGTTCAGCTTTTGCTTCCTCAATGTGATGGCTGCCCTTCATTTCACAGATAGTAGAATCCATGTATTTGTTATTCTGCAAGCGACGTAACTCAGCCTTCAGGTGGGTCACCTGGAGTAAAAAGTCATTAGTCTAATAGTAGATAAATGCTCAGATCATGAAGGAGAGCACTGAAGAGTATGTTCCTTCAGTTTTACTGCTGCTGTCAAATCTGATACCATCCTTAATCCAATTGGCATCAGGGATGGCGTGTACATAACTGCTATGTCCACTGTGATTTTAGTTTATTAAATGTGTTTACACACAGATGGCTCCACAAGGACTGAGCTATCAAAAAATGATTACCAGTCCTACTTATCTCACCTGTTTAACCCCCTTCCTTGATTTCTGGAAATGTTTATTTTGTATTTTACATTGCTATCAGTATTCTTAATGCCATTATAATAATGATAATGTAATTAATATTAATAACAGCATTTGAAAGAATTAAAGAAAAAAGAACAAACAAACAAGGAAATGCAAAATTAGGAGCGGGGTGAATTTTGTGGTGGCTGAGCACTTGTGGAGTAATCTATGTCTAAACACATTTGACAAAACAAATCTACAGTAGATGTGAAAGGTTTCCATCAGTGATGGGTTAAAAAGCACAAAAATCATGTTTCATTTCAGTAATGAACTAAGCCAATAATAATAATAATGGAATCTAAATAACCTTCATTTCCCCACTATACAAAATGATTTTATAATGCCATCTAAGACTTAATTTTCCTAGCAGAGACATCATGCACAAATAAGCCTACCTACCCTCAAAAGATTTCTTATGCACAAATATTACACTGAAGAGATTTCTTCTTGTTTCTAATACTCACATTTACATGTAACCTACTCTCATCATTCATAAAAAATCTAAACCTCAAAATGAATTTGAGAACAAAATAGGCTTACCTTCTTTTGTAAGCCAGCTCCTCTCTCAAGTTCTGAACCTCCTTTTCAGCTGGAGCATTGAGAGCACGAAGTCTAAACCTCAGTTCATTATTCTCACGTTCAATAACCACCAAACGGTCACGAAGACTAGCTTCTTCCTCAACACATTAAAACAGAATTAGGAATTAACATAGCATGAAATGGTTTATTTTTTCTCTCTCTCTCTTTTTTTTTTTTTTTTTTTTTTTTTTTTTACATATAGCACTGTTAATAATTTAATATAAATGCATATACAACATTGTTAAAATGAGAAAATATTACTAATCCTGATAAATAAAAATTGTATTACTGAGACAAAGGAGGAGGAGGCTAAATTGACAAACCCCAAAAGGGTCATAGCAGTTTTCTAGACAAGAATCAACGTGAATTGTGCGTGTGATATGATTCTGGCTGGATTATTACCACTCACTTGCAGAAGAGTTCTTTGACATCACCCCAGAATCATTCTTTAAAGATGCTTTTTCATTTGATAATTGTTCAATTTTCCTGCAAAGTATTTAATAAAAAATCAATAATTTGTCTAATATCTAAGAAGTCTATAATATGTTCTAATACAATTTCAAGTGTTCTTTAAAATAAAAGAGTGCCAGTAAGTGGAAAAAAAAGCAAACTGTAAAATACTGAAAGTAAAACTGGACTTCAGTGTACTTCTTGACTTCTCAGCCTTTTCACTGCTTGCCTGGATTCACATTTCTCCTGGTTGCTTTAATCCTTCATCCATTTTTTCCCCTTGCACATTTTCTCTCTGCAGTTGCTCATAATCTTTCTCCAAGCTATCAAAGTTTGAGTTTAGCAAATCACGCTCTTTTTCTGCAGCTTCCATCTTTTCCTTCATCCATGCCAATTCACGTTGGAATTCCTCAACATTCGAGATAACTCCCTGTGAGCGTCTCAGATTTTCCAAGGTTTTCTCCAGTTCTTTGATCTTTTCCTCCCGTTCTGAGCAGAGCAAGATATACTGGTTTCTCTGCTCTTCCATGTCACTTGCCCTGGTTTTCTTCTTCTTCCCTGTAGTGTTCAGGCCAGGTGTGGTCATGGAGGAGCTGTTCACTAAAGTATTGAGGCGTGTTGAAAGCTGGGAAAGTTCCTCTTCATATTTTTCCTTCTGCTCATCCATGAGGAATTCAGCTTTTACAAGTTTTGCTTTCAGACCCTCACATTCTTCATACTGCCTGGTATACTCCTGCTTCCACCTGTTTACTTCATCAGCCACATCTTCAAAGTTCTTTTGACTGGCCTGTAAGTCACATTCTAACTGATTAATTTTCTCCATCATCTCAACTTGCTGCATAGCATCTTTTGTTCCACTAGCTGAAACCATAAGCATCTCAACTCTCTGCTGGTAGTCCTTTAGCTGTTTCTCAAGAACAGCCTTCTCTTCCTCATACACCAGTTTGAATTTGTCCATGTCTCCAAGGCGTTCTAAGAGAGTGTCAACAGTGTCACTGCTAACCTTCAGTTCTTCTTGTAAACTAGCCTTCACTTGCTCTACTTCTTCTACCTGAATACTCATTTTCTCAGTCATATACTCCAGATTCTTGTTGTGAGTCTTAAGAGTGTCTATTTCCTTTTGCAGACCTTCCTTTTCCTTCATTAACACCTCTAGCTGTTTTTCATGATCTTGTAGCTGTTCTCTCAAATATTGCACTGTAAGACTGGAATCACCAGACACAGAATTTTCCTGGCGTGAGAACTCCATCAGTTTTGATTTAGTCAGTGACAAATCATTTTCTGTCTTTTTCAACTTGTCTGAAATTTCATTATACATACTGCCATATGAGGCTCCCTCTTTTTTATAATGCTCAACAATGTCATCCATTTCTGCATTTAAACGAATACACTCTTCATCCTTAGACTTCAGTTCTTCTTTCAGTTCTGTAATTTGATTCTGTAATTCATCAATTCCTCCTACTGTAGCATCACCATCATTCTTTGTGGTCTGTTTGCAAATCATCATGGAATCTGTAAGTTTCTGCTTTGTTTCAGTCAGTTCAATTTGTACCTTTGTTAATTCCTTGGTCATGTCTGAGATCATGTCTGCCTTCGTCTGTCCTTCTTTCTTAAAGTGCTGCACAATATCATCCATCTCCAAGTCAAGTCTTGTGCACTCTAACTCCTTTTCTTTTAATGACTCTTCCTTCTCTTTCAATTCCCTCTGAAGGCTATGAAGCTGTTCTTTACAGTGCTGCAGGTCTTCTTCAGTATTCATCAACTTGATGGAGAGTTCATGCTGAGCACTGTGTCCTTGGTCTCCCTTCTCTTCTTGTTCAGTTCTGTACAAGTTAATTTCTTCTTTTAATCTCTTTACTTCAGTTTCTGTCCTTCTAAGTTGTATAAATGCATCTGCATGTTCTGAATCAAGCCTTGCACATTCCTTTTCTTTCATCTCCAGTTCATTTTCTTTCTCTAATAATTCCTTCTTAAGTATCTGAATCTGCTCCTTGAAGTTCTGCAGTTCATCTTCAGTCTGAGAAAGTTTTTCAACAACTTCTTCATGTTGTGACACATATTCAGCAATTTCTGTTTTATACCTTTGAATCTCTTCTTCGTATTCAACCTGAAGGATTGCAAGGTTTTTTTCAGTGTTCCTCAGTTTCTCAGGTAAATCTTCTAAACTAGTTTTCATGTGTTTGTGCTCTTCCAGCTCTTTCTCAAGTTTACAGTATTTATCTCTTAATCCTTCCAATTCTAGTAGCTTATCAAGCATCTCCTGATTCTTCTCATGAAGAGACAGTATTGTTTTCTCAGCTTCCTTGATACTTGATTCTTTGCAATCTATTTCTGTTACCAGATTTTGCAACTGTTCTTCTTTCTCTGATCTATCCATCTCGTATTTTTGTATTTGTACGTCCTTCTCTGAGGTTTCAGTTTCATATTTCTCAATTATCCTCACCAACTCTTCAATCTGTGTATTGTTTGACTCCAGCTGGTCATCCAGCGCCTTCCCTTGGGCTCGTAGGTCTGCAATTTCGTCTTCAAGCTTCAGTTTTTCTTCTGCTAAAAGACAGATGGTCTCCTTTTGTTTTTCCAATTCTACCTCTTTTGAAGTTAGACAGCTGCTGCAGGTTTCCAAGTCTTCCTCCAAATTCTCTATCTTGCTGTTCAACTGATCCTCAGTGCATTTTGCCATATCTATTAGCTCAGTCTTTTCATCTAATGCTTTTGTTGTCTGTGCCAATTTTTCCTGTACATCACTCAGTTCAGTATTAATTTCATCCAACTTAATTTCAGATTCTGAAAGCTTCTTATACAGGTTTTCTCTTTCAAAGAGATGAGATGATATTTCTTCCTCCAATTTCTCAACCTTGTGCTTATAATCTACATTTAGTTCAGAAAGACTATTTTCCAAAAACAGAACTTTCTCTCGAAGGCCATCTGCCACAGTGAGTGAATCCCTTTTATGCTCTGTCACTTCCTTTTCCAGCTGGCTGTATCTTTCTTTGACTTCCTTGAACTCTTCTAATTCTTCTGACATATCTTCATTCCTTTTCTGTAGGCTCAGAATCTCTTTCTCAATATTACTGATATGAGAGTCCTTGACCTCTACCACTTTGGAAATACTCTGCAGACGCTCTTCTTTTTCTGAGATTTCATTTTCATATTTCTCAATAATCCCTACCAACTTCTTCACTTCTTCCCCTTTAGAATTTTCTTCTTGAGATTTTAGAGCCAGAATATCATTCTTGAGTTTTTCCTGTTCAGATTCCAGCTCTGTTATGATGTTGTTCTTCTCATTTACCTCATCTTCATAAACCTTCAGCTTCTCTCTAGTTATCATTAAATTTTCATTCAAAGTTTCCAGCTCATTTTTCAAAGTACATTGCTCAGACCGCAAAGTCTCCACAATATCCTCTTTACTCTTGATGGCTTCTGCCATATTCTTCCTGTCCTCACATAATTCATTATGGAGTTTATTTAAATGTTCAACCTCTGCTTGAAGTTCTTTCACTTTACTGGACATATCTGATTCAGCTGAATCTAGGTAAAGCTGGAATTCCCTTTCTTTATTTTGTAGGCTTTGATGGCTCTCTTCCAGCTCTGAGGTCAGGCGCTGAACTTTGTGATCCTTAGCTTCAAGTGCCATTACCATGTTTGTGCGCTCCTCATTACGTTGGCTGATTACACTTTCAAGCTCCTGTATCTTCTCATCCCTGTTATTTAGATTTTCAATGTAAGAGGAAACCTCCTGTTCATGTTCACTGTTTAAGGTCTCCAACTCTTTCTCCTTCTTTGAGAGAACAATCCTAAGGTTTTCCATGCTATCCTGCAGTTCTTTGTGTTCTCTGACCTTTGTGCTGTACTCTTCTTTTAGATGCTTCAATTCATCAAGTTTGTCACCTAAAATGGAATGGTCATCTCTGTCAAGAGTCTTTTCAGTTTCAATCTTAATGGAAGCATTATGTGATTCTTGAAGCACTTTCCTTTCACTTATCTCTTTGAATTCTTGCTTTTCTGCCTCTGCTGCCACCAGAAGTTCCTTCTGATGTTCCATGCATTTCTTCATCTCTTCTAGTTGTTCAGCTTTGTCAGCAAGATCAGTTTCATGACCAGCAATAATGTTCTTAAACTCTTGGATTCTGTTTTCTGTCTCTATAGAACTGTCTGAATTCTCTTTCTGCATAATCTCATATTTACTTGCTATTTCATCAGATTTATTTTGCTCTTCCAACAGCTGCTTCTCTAAGTCACTAAAAGTAGTCTTGAGTGTATTACATTCAGCAACAAGATTCTGAACCTCTAGTTCTTTACTTGCAAGTGTTTTTCTCATTTCTACAACATGGGAGTTAGCTGACTCAAGTTCTTTCAGTTTCTCCTCTAGTGCTTCTTCTTTATCTGAAAAGTTGGTGATGAACATTTCCATTTCACTATCCTTTTCTGCTATAATTTCTGAAATCTTACTGTCAAAATCTGATTCTTTCTTTTCTATTTGGCATTCTAGAACAACTATCTTCTCTTTAGCAATGGTAAGCTCCTTTTTAAGATGCTCTATAGACTCCTCACAAACAACTGCTGATTGAAGTTCTTCCATTTTCTTAAATGTTTCTTCTAGTTCTTCAGACTTCTCACGTAATTTTTCCCTCAGCTCTTGGTTAGATTCAACTAATTCTTTGATGCTCATAATTTCCCCAGAATCCAACTGACAGGTTTCTTCAAAGGTAAGAATCTTTTTCCTAGCTTCTTCCAATGCTGTGGCCTGATCCTCTAATTTCTTTCTTAGTTCTTCTACAGTGTTTCTGGTCTCCTTAACATTCTGATCTGTATCTTCATCACCAAACATATCTTCACTCAATTTGTCTGCATCATCCATTTTACAGCTTTCATTTATAATGTGCTCTTCACTTTCTATTTGAGGTGCTGCTATTGCTTCTACTGCTTCTGTGGATGCTGTGTGTCTTTTTAATTCCTCTTCCAGATCCTCCATCTGTTTTTCAGCCTTGTGGAGATCTTGACTGTCATCTATATGCTCTCCCTCAAGAGGATCTGTTATTTTCTCTGGAATATTATCCTCGTTAGTGTCTACTTTCTTCATGCTGTCATTTTTAAGATCCTCCATCTGTTTTTCAGCCTTGTGGAGATCTTGACTGTCATCTATATGCTCTCCCTCAAGAGGATCTGTTATTTTCTCTGGAATATTATCCTCGTTAGTGTCTACTTTCTTCATGCTGTCATTTATAGTCTGTTCTAGATTTTCATTTTCCTCCTGCATTAGTTTTAACTCTACTTCAAGATCAGACTTATCTTGTTTCAAAGAATTAACCTGCCAGCGGAGACTATGGCATTCCTCCGATATTATCCTGCTATCTGATAGTTCCTCTTCCATTGATTTCAAACTGGCTTTTAAAACTTCTTTTTCTTTCATAATACCTTGCAGTTCAATTTCTACCTGCTCTTTTGCCTTCTGAGACTCTGACTTTTGAAGTTCTAATTGTTTTACTTGCTCGGTGAGGTTAACATTTTCTTGATTAAGCAGCTCCAACTGATGCTTCAGCTGACTGATTTCCTGAATGGATGAGTCAGCCCCTAGATTCAAAATGGAGGTTTCAAAGCTCTCATCACAAATATTCATAGTCATATTCATACCTGCTTGATGAAGTTCATCAGCTAGAGATTGTGGCACATTGGAATAATTTTGGACTTCCCTCTTTTTACCGTGAACTTCTGATAGCTGTTTTACTTGATCCAAAAGTGCACTATTTTCTCTATTAAGTAAATCTAATTGTTGCTTGAGTTTTTGTACTTCCTGCAGTGAGGAATCACTTTCAAGGTTGAGAATAGAGGTTTCAAAGGTCTCATTGCAAAGAGTCATGTTCATGCCTGCACCCTTTAATTCATCAGCAATACTAAGTGTGGCAGCCTGTAATGAATCCTTTCCCATTTTAGATTCTTTCTTCAATCTAGCCTCAAACTCAGTACGTTCCTCCTTTAATATAGCCTCATACTCTGCTTGTACCTGCTCTTTAGCTTCTTTAACTGCCTTATGTACTTCTTGTGCAACATTATCATCATAAGATTCATGAGTATGTACTGACTGAGCATATACTTTAGAACTGGTATGTGTGAAAGGAGCATGAGAATAGGCAATATAGTCTGCACAAAGTGCCTCTGCCATTTTCCATGAATTGATCTGTGATTCCATTTCGGCAATAATCTGAAAAAATAATGCATGCAATTAATTGTACAACATGACAATTAATATCATAATTTTTTTTATCCTAAAGGTAGGGCTATCCATTTATATATTTCTCTGTATCTAAATAGACCTAATGACCATACCACTCTTTTATCCGATTACCGTAACTTTAAACCAGTGGTTCCCAACCCCATGATCGTGACCCAAATATGTTGCGAGGGTTTGTCTGAGGGTCGTTGGAGGGTCTTAATAATAATGATGATGATTATAATGACAACAATAAAAATAATAATAATAAAAAAAGCAAGCAAATAAAAGTTTGTATTGTTTTTTTGACAAATGTTTTCTTTCCCATCCCAAATTTATTAAAATTCATTACAAGCAATATAAACCTACATAAACAGAATAATTAAAGTTCATAAGTATAACATGAAAATAATTGGATTTATTACTATGTGTCTACACATTTTAGGCTCACTAGTCCATGTTAAGACTGTATTTAGGATCGCAACCAAAAAAGTTGGGAAACAATTCTGTCAGCATCTCACCTGAGAATGATACAGTTGTTTATGTAAAATGTCCTCTTTTATATGATCTTCAAATTTCTGTTGTTGTAACTGCTGTTGCTGCTCTTGTGCAAGAAGTGACTCCTGCAAAGCTAGCAACTGCTGTTTGATGATAATGAAGTCTTGCATTTGGAAGAAAGGTTCATCCATGGAGCTAACAGAACCTCTGTTAGGAGTTGAGGGTAGCATTATGGATTCTTCTAACACCTGTAGAGTCTCAGATAACTTTCGAGAGATTTCAGATGACACTGTAGTGCAATCTCCTTGTGTTGCATTAAGGAGCTGAAGTGGCTTACAGGTTATATTATTACCAACTGCACTGTCACGCAAATTCTCAATCTGTAAATTAGATTTGGCATAAAAGAAAAAAATAAGAATAACAAAAGGAAAGAAAAAATTGGTAATGATTTATAGTAAAATATTACTATACCTAAAAACTCGCAAATTGCTCATAAGAAAGCACATTTGAAAATAATCACCCTGAAGTCCACAAATGTGTTAAGAATTAAGAATTATCTTGCATTTAAGTAAATAATAATCTTTGATACAAATCAAAAAGAAATACCTCTCCTAAAGCAGCAAAAATGAAAAATAAAAAGATATCTTTGTTATATAAAACTTTCGTTGCCAATAAAATTAACAGTGCAAACTCGCTACCTCTTCTTCCAGTTCACGAATCCTTGTGGCAGTTCCCTGGGATTCTCGCTCTTCTAGCTGCATCTGAAGTGCATTGGCAGTCTCCTGTAGATGCAGGTTCTTCTGTTCTTTACTCTCTAGCTCAGACTGCACTCTCAGGAGTTCACTCTCCAAGGTTTCAATGCGAGAAACTTGTTCATCGAGTTCTCTTAGCTTATCCACCAATATCATCATCTGTAAAAAGGATGATTTGAAGGTTTCTCCATTTTATTTACTGCTTAATCATTATTATAAGTAAATATGTCACTAGAGCACTGACCACTAAAGCAAAGTAACTACCTCCTGGAGCTTCAAGTTTTGTTCATTAACCAATTGCTGAGTGGCTTGTTGTTCTTGCTGTGATGCTTCCAGCTGTTGTTTGAGTTCAGCATTACTTGACTTCAGCCTTGTAACAAAAGCAAAAACAATTGGTGAAGTCAAGACATGGTTAACTATAAGATCAATTAAATTAGACTAATTCAATAATTTTCCTAGATTTACTTAATCTTGGCAACCTAATCTTTAAGCTAATTTTGACTACTGACCATAATTTCAGTTGGTTTAAATAATACAGCAGCCAATGAAATAAAAGTCTCAGTTAAAAAATTACACAAAGTTTCCCTGAAGTACAGATAATGCTTAATAGGCCACTTCTTGAATTCCTGTAATTCAGATATTCAATAATTACATTCACATTCACATTTAGGATGTCCCCAAACCGTGCAATGACATGCAACAGGGAATGCGCACAATCTACTTCTCAAATTAAAGATTACGTGTGATAAACATACATTTACCCCACTCTATATCAGTGGTTCCCAAACTGTAGGCTTTGTAGCAGAATGTAGGGGCTATAACCTGAAGTTGTGTATCTTAAAAAATAAAGGTGTAGCAGGTAGGCTGCCAGTGGAAGGAACTTACATGTTCAGTACAATTTTGTGCAAGGAATTGGTGCATGAGTAACATATCCCTTTTCTATCTGATTATGTGTTCTTGACATAAAACAAGACACTGACATGGAATCCATAAAATTACACAATTTGCCTATGTATTTTTTATATGGACCAAATGAGTGCAGGACTGTAGACAGTCAACGTCAACCTGGGTTATGGCTGGTGGTGGGCCATGGACGAGGATCATGTATGAAAAGTGAGTAATGACTAGAAAAAGTTTAGGAACCAATGCTCTATACTCTTGGCTGCAGCATAAGCATTATTTTTAGAATAAGTTTCTCCTCAGTGAGTAAAGTTTTTGTCATGACAGCAATATCCTCAAAAGACTTACTCTTGGACTTCTGCTTGATTTTCACGAAGCTCATCCACTTCCTTCTCCAGTTGAGAAACATGCATGCTCCTTCTTCGTACTGCATCCACATTGGTGCTTTCATGGTTAGCTATCTCTTCCCAAGCAGCCTAGAAAGATCAATAACCACATTACAAACTCTCCTATATACATCAATTAATTTTTCTTTAATTTCTTCCCTCTCCTGATTGAATTATCTTAAAAGAACAATACTCACCTCCAAACTCCTCCTTAGGTCACTCTCTTTGCCTTTCTGCTTTTCCAGTGCCAACTCCATCATCATGTCAAAGTCTTGCTTTTCATTCTTGAACTGATTTAAGCTTCTTTCTTTTTCTTCCTGGTAATGACAAAAAGTGAAAAATGTAAGGGAAGTCTGCTATAAAGGATAAATTAACAATGCTCATGAAAAGTTTTAGAGATCCATAACCCCAGAACAAGAACAAGCATTAAAAAGACAATATGAAGATAGAGAAGTTATAAATTTCTTGTGAAAGAAAAATATTGGAAAAGGCAATGGCTTATCCAAAGAAAATGGGAAGATAATACTGCAATTAAATTAAATAAAAAAAAAATTGTAAAGAAGTAGTAACACAAATAGTGATATGGGATCCACAATGCATCTAATTTTGCAGGATAAAGATAAAAAAAAAAAAAAAAAAAAAAAAAATTAAAGTTAAATTCATTCAGACAAAATCAAACATGTACAAAGGCTGATGTACTTCAAATCTTGATTAAAAGCACATCTTTAATAAAAAGCTTTAAAACTGCTAAAACTAAAAGGGCTAAATATTTAGTAGCTTTGTAGTTTAAATTTGCTACAACTAAGTTATATTTTCTTTATATCAATCATAACTGAAATACACAAATATCTGAAAAGCCAATCCCTTACCATTGATTTCTTCAACAATTTGTTTTCCTCTCTCAGTGTGAAGAGTTCGGTCTCATATCCACACCTTATTTCATTTTCCTCCACGAGTTCCTGATACTGTTCTTGCAAACTGGCCAAATCCTGTGTCCTCTGACACAGAGCTCGATTGGCATCCAGCAAGAGTGTTTCGGAGTCTTTCAAAGAATGCTTTAGAGAAGATATTTCTTTGGCTTGAGCATCGAGCTGTTGGGTAAATTTGCAATAAAAAGTTTTTTCAAGTTTTATATTAATAAAATTAGAAATAATAGTCAGAATAAATCAGTGACATTTTCATTGTAAAGTATGAGGTTCAACTCACTACTCATTATGGCACCCTTTCAATGACACCTACAATGCTGAATGAATAACATTATCACAAAAATAAAAATAACTGAATGACAATCAAGGAATTGCTTCAAATATAGGCCCAGACACTACTGCAAAGAATATTCAAAATCTCTTACTTTGGTATTATCAATAGGTCCATCAGCCACTTTCAACTGGAAACTCTCTTCCAGTAACTCCAGTTCTACTTTCTGAAAGTCTTTAAGTTCACTAAGTTCTGCCTGCCACTCCTCCAACCACTCATTCTGCTCCTCCAATTTTTGTTTCAGTTCCGTATTTCTTGCTCTCAGTACATGAGCTGGAGTTCCAGGTGAGCCAGGAGGGATACCTGCACCTCTCTTTGGTGTACTTGGATAAGGGGAACGCAGCAGGCTAGAAAATATAGTTGATGATAAAATTAATTAAAACGTAACATTTTTATATAAAAGACTTATATAAAAAAATTTATATAAAAGACTTTTGTAACATTTTTTATATAAAAGACTTATATTATATGAGATATAATATATTCTTACATGTTGTTCAAATTGTAACATATGAATGGCTCCCCACCTTATATTTGATCTTGAGTAGTCGAGTACCTTCTTATCCCCCACAACTCCCATATCATACATGTGATTACCTTTTTAAAGATCTGACTCCAATACTGATTGACCAATCAAGGTCTTCTTTGCATACTAACCTGACCTTGTTCTATTTTCTATCTCTGAAAATGTATAGTTCTCATCCTTACAAAATAATAAAAAATAAAATACTGAAATTTAATGAGAAACAATGAAGTCGACCAAACTGAAAGGGAACAAAGATTAACAATCACTTCTTTTTATATAAATGATTCCTCAAACTCACTTTATTTTGGGAAGCAAACTCTCTTCAGTCTGACACTCAGCATCAATGAAACTTGGTGGGAGATTGAAGTTAAACTGGACCCTTCTCTTCCGCTTTGTTCCCAAAATTTCAGGAGTGTTGAAGCTGCTCTCCAGTTTTCCTAATTTTGACTGTTCAGCCATATCCATGTTGAAACTAAGGTCATCTCTCCCAAAACCTAAAGTAGAGAAATAAATATATTTTTTTTTTTTTTTTTTTTTTTTACTAAATTGTGATTCTGTAACTAGATCATAAAAAGGGAAATTAGTTTTTATCTTCAGATTTTTCCATATTTCTTTTCAAAAGTTAACAATTTCATGTGGGATACAAGGAAAATCTTTCCAAATATTGTTTTTTGAGTAAATGTATTAGCATGTCTAGTTAAATAATTTTCCAAATGCACTGCTTCATGAATAATACATCATAAATACAAATACAGTAACATAAAATACAAATTTAAGATATGGTACTCTTGACAAGAACCTGATGAAGAGCAAATGTCCATTAATCAAATACCATCATACTACAGTACTTCAGTAACCAAATTTACCATCAGACGCAGATGAGCTGTTGAGTGGCGGGCTTTGGGATGAATTGGATGACTCTTCAGCAAGTGTTCCCATATCTTTCCAAGGTGGCAATTCCGGCCGCACAAACTCGTGATCCAGGTGCAGGGGCTCTATCCTCAGTGGAGCTATACTCCTCCTCATGGCTCTTAATCCTGCTGGGGCTGCCCATGTCTCACGGCGGAGCCTTTTCTTCTTGTCCTGGGGAATGTACCAAGATCGTAACTAGGGCTACTCCTAAACATGGATTGCACAAAAGGGGTAGGCTAAGTTAAACATTAGGTGGGTTATATAAATATCAGATACATTACTCTACTTTTACTGATTTATTTATACTGGATTCTTTTGGCTTATCACATTCAGTGTAAAAATGCTATTACAAACTAGCATTAATTTTTATTTTCACTTGCACCTCATCTTATTTTTATTTTTATTTAATTATATATTTTTATTAATATTTTTTATTTATTTATTTATTTTTGTCTGTCCAATTTCACATAACTGATATAATTCAGGGTATGCTGCCATATTCGACCTAGAACGAAGCTGAAAACCACTGGTCTAGACAAACTAATCTTTCCCCACACATGCCAATCAAATACTAGGTATTCAGTAACTTTTCCAAAATTTCATACTTGGTATGTCAATGATGCATTCTACATCAGGATGTGCTTCTTAAATGCTTTGCGGCTGGGGTGATTGCGTGGCCTAAATCTAGGATCTTACTTTGCGGCCTGACAATGAAACCATGGCCATTTTCAAAAGTGGGATGCTGCAAGTTATCCTTTGTTATTTTTTTCTTGTCTTAATTTCTCTCATTGACACATGTCATTCTTTTGTCTACTTTAATGTGCTTTCCTCTTCTGGGAGGCTGAAAACAGTTTTAGAATTTTGTAACTTGTTACTTAGAATTAATACAATATCTACAATGGCATCCCCATTGTTGGAAGGCCAAACAGACTTTCAGCATCAACTCTTGAGTCTTACATCCAGGAAAATTAACCCAATCAGACTATGTGGTCGTAACCAATCAACTGACTAGAAGTTTTAGTTTAGTGCCCTCTTCAATCAAATCAGAAAAGGAACTGATTGCATGTCAGATAACTGGCTGGGTAATATGGACAATAATCTGAGCAATTTTCCTCATTATCAATAGGTTATTCCTCCAAACCAATAAAAATAAAAATACTTAGAAACATTCTTTCATAACTGCCAAGGACACCATGATGCTCACACTCTATCCAAGATTTGAACTGTCAAGACATTCTTGGCATGCATACTCAGGCCAATAGCTGACATCCAGGACAACAGGTTAACAACCTGGAATCAATCTTGTTAAAATTCAATGTAATTCCAACTAAAATCTATTGCAAAACCAGCAAGACTAATGAGACATTCCTTCCTTTAAAGCTTCAATTCTTATACTTACAATGATCTTCTTATCAGTTTCCTTTGGAAGGCTAGATACTACTAACATAGTTTTTAGCTCTGTCACTTTGGCCTGAAGGTCTTCATTCTTGCGGGACTGTTCATCCAACATCTCACGCACCTGGTGTCATGAATAACCATCTATTAGTCATTTCTGTACAACTTGTATCCATCTTATATTCTATTGCATAAAAAACAAAAACAAATTCTAATTTGAGATGGTAGTACACACATTGCATTCATCTCACCTGTTCAACTTCTTGTGCTTTATCAGTATTGCGCTCTTTTTCAAGAGACTCCTTTAACTTCTTAATCTCTTTTGCATATCTCTTCAGCAGAGCAGCCTCAGACAAAACTTCATTCACAATAGGCTTATTCTTGATTGATTTAGCTCTTGATGCAAACCTGAAGAAAGTAAAAAGTAAAGAACAAAATCTAGCTTGCACTTCTTTGGTTATTCTGATTTCTTAACACTACACACCCTAAAAGCCATTAATTAACTTTATAGTCAAGATGCTAATACTGAAGTGAGTACAAATCTAACTATGTGTACAGTAAAAGTTACAATCACACAATATAAAAACAATTCATTATATTACATATGTCAAACATTGACAGACAGATATGGAAGACATTACCTTAAAGTAGAATGTGTTTGGTCTACTGCTGCTGGAGTAACTGTGCAAATAATAGCAGTCTTCGCATTTCCTCCTAATGACAGCTGTAGGATTCGCGTCAACTTAGAGTCACGGAAATTTACAAACTGCCTGGATAATAAAAAGAAAAAAAATACACACATCTTTATAAATATATATAAAAAGTAGATACCAAAAATTAAATTATATTGCAGTGTTTTAAAATTAATCAAGTACAAACAGAAATATCAATACGTTATTGTTCCATCTCATTCTGGATAATCCTCCCTATTTATAACTGACAATGACAATCATGTAAATCTCAGACATAAAGGGTAAAGAAAACAAAGGTCTAACTAGCAAGGAAAACTCCATATCTGAATTCTTCTCTTTCAATACACATACAAAGCATATATATATATAAATGTATGCATTTATGTAACTTTCCACCAAAATTCATAATGCAAACCTGACTTTGAATATCATCTAAACAATTGTATTAATTAAAACTGCATTGTAATACCGAATAGAATATGATACAAAATCTTTAAACATTTAGATACCAGGAATGTAGCCATACAATTGACACATTTTGTGGCAGACACACATAAAAATACATATTGTACATACAAATATATTACATACTCATACATAGCAGAATGCTGGATTTTAAAGAGAAAATCTTAACCTTTTGGTCTTCAAGATAATTGCATCTCCTTCATGATCAAATTCTGCACAAATCCTTATTATAATTAATTATTTCACTCTGATATTACCCTCACTGACCTCATTACAGATATAGTATACATATTGCATAAAGCCAAACAAGATAAGACAGATAAAACTTCTTCACTTTAAACTACACAGAATATCTGACAACAACATTCTCTCCTATATCACTGTGCATCTTGATATATTTGGACTATTATCTTACTATTTTAATCTAACCAAATACTATTAGATCTGATACTTACTCTCCATCACTCAACTGTGAAATGACCCGTCCAAGCATGAAGAGGGATCTGTTGATAAAGCCTCCCTCTTTAAGCCTTTCCCCGGTGGCTCCAGTCTGGGATGCATTCTCTGAACCAGCAAGATCAACCAAATTCAGCTGCGAGACAACCACAGCTGAATCACTGCCATCACCTTCAGTGCGTTCTCGTGACTCTAAAATCTGTAGAAAGGAGAACCACAAGATTGTTTGTCATTGCTGACTCTATTCAGAGCATTTATATTGCAATATAATTACTTTAAAGATGTATGAAGTATTAAATGTCTTAAATATAACATTATAATAAAACAATTGATGTGGATATACTAGATTCATATAATTTCCAAATATTGGAAAAGAAAACTTCTTAGACTCTATAAACAGATCATCAAATGTCATACATAAAATAGTGCTTTAAAACAAATCACACAAAAACAATTTTCTTACAATACGAAATATGGTGTGTGATCTTGAGCTACGTTCATTCATGTTTGTAACTCCAACATGGCGATTCTTGTCTCCTTTCCTCATCAAGGCTAACAACTGTAATAAATGGATTATTCAAATAGGTTATACATACACATTAAAGAAATCAGGACATCCTAACCTTATTCTGTAAGTGACCAATAAGACTTGCAATAACTAGCTAATATCTGTCCTAAAATAAAAGGTGTACATTTAAGTCTTCACTGATGACTATCACATTTCAACTCTTACAATAAAATAATTTTACAGTAATCTAATATTGGAGTTGAATGTAATAATCAAACCACCGAAGAAAAAAAAGGCATCCAGACTTACACTTTCTTCACAGTTTACACACTCTTCCTTCAAGTCAGCAACATATACATTGCCTGAAATATCTTCTCTTACACTCAAGCTCTTGCCACGAGATTCGCGAGAGGCAAGCAAATCTGTGATGTTCTCATTGTAGATTTCCATGTATGAGACCCTGCAAACAAAAATGATATGAGTAACATACACAAGATTTATTCTCAATATTGCATAAGCTAAAAACATCACATGTAACTATTACAGGCAGGTCATGCTCAGATGTAACTTAACCACTGTTTAATTCTAAAATGAAGCTAAGCGAACCTGATTAAATACTCCCGGTCAGGTGTATTCTCAATGGAATTAAAAATGTTTTGGATTGCCATTGGAATGATGCCGGGGAGGTCACGGTTTCCCATCATGGTGAAGGTTTTTCCTACAAGTGAAAATATAATTATTCACATGTTACATCATTTGAATCTGATTTTTTTTTAAAGTTAGTTTCACAGATATACATTCCAAGATTCTTATGAGGAAGAAGAAGAAGAAAAAAAGTATACCTGATGAAGTTTGTCCATAGGCAAAAATGGTTCCATTGAATCCAGCCAGAGCAGACTCCACAATGGGTTCTGCCACTTTAAAATATATGTCTGCATTGCTGTAGTCTGAGCTATAGACTCGATCTGAAACAAGAATTCAAATCATCAGTAGCTAAGGCATTCTGATGTATTTGTAAAGAACTGATAAACAAATGAATAAATAACAAAGTAATAATAAAGATTAAAAATGAAATACTGAAAAAAACTGCTCTTCCTATTAAATCTGTTACCAGTCTGTAAGGCATATATGCAAATAATACAAGGGGAAAAACATTTAAATAGCAATATCTCCCAAAAGCAAAACCTACCAAATGTATAAGGAGCACACAGAGCCTTTTGTGTCGCTGGGTCAATTTGGGTGATTGTGTTGTCTGTGCCCGTTTGCCATTGGATGGCTGATGCATCAGACACCTCTCTTGTAATGAGTGGTCTTACTCGCACGGCCACAAGAATGTTGTCCGACATGGTGACTGCAACAATGCAATCCTAGTCAATACCTGAAAAGATTTTTTTTTTTAATTCATAAATCTTATTGCTACAGCTGCAATAATCTTACATTCTGATAACCAAATCCTTATTAGGAGGTAAGGTAAAAATATTTACTCAAATTTTTACTAAAAGCAGTACACAGAAAGTTAGATGTTTAGGTATTAAAACATTTTTTGTTAAATAAGTTTATGGTCTCATAAATATCTTGCATTTTTCACCTGCCAAAACCTTTTCCTATATTTAAGCCTGTAAATAACTTGCCATATCTATCAAGGTTTTTAGGATTAAAAATAAATAAATAAATACTTGTTACAGAAATGCAAACTATAGGTAGTGCCTTGATCTTAGGGACTGTATCTACCAGAGAATAATTCCTGCACTGTGGCCTCTGATCCTTCAATGCTTTGGCAGAACTAACAGAACTAACAACACTCCATTACATATATTTGACAAGACAAGAGCTTGGACTAGTTCCTAGTTTAACAGGGTCATCTACAAAATATGCGAGAATTTCCATGTTGGAGGTTTTTTTCAACCTAGGCCTACTGATGGAAAGCCAAAAGCATGGAGGTTATGACAAGAATTAGAAACATTTTGGGTGTTTCTGTGGGAAGTAAATGTGGGCTTGCCTCCACTTTCATGCAGTTTCTATCACTTATATCAAGTGGTTTATATGTGTTCTCTTAAGGATATCACATTAGTTTTCCTAATACTCTGCCAAGTCCTCATTTCAGGATTGCTCTTTCATCTATCAAGGGATATTTTATCTTGAATCGGTTAGAGTCAATACACAAATACATACACTCAATTCAAATCGGAGCAGAAAAAAATCAAAACATATTTGGCACAAAGTCTTCAAATCTATCTGGACAGAATAAACTTTGGAAGTCACTATCAACCTATCAAATGGAGAAATTAAGAAAACTGCCTTCAATTCACATTAACATGACGAGATTCAAATTCTTACTTCCTTACATCATAACATTCAAATTCAAACATCACCCATCTCTTTCACTTAATTACCAATGCCACATATCAACAAACACAGTCGCCGTTGAAGGTTCACTGACATCTCTTCGGAACAAATTTCACGACCGATACATAACTGTAAATGCGGTTTTAATAGAGAAAAACACATAAGCACATTTAAAAACAAGGCGAAATCCCACCTCCTTTTTAACTCTCCACGTAAACACTCGCCAATAAAAATAAACTTATGAAAAACGTCACCACTAACATCCTCACATCTTCGTATCACTCTTAAAGATCGACAGGGAAACAAAATAAATATCCATACCTTGAATTAATCATTTAAATCGCAGCAGGAGCAGATCCTACTCGCCAATCTTTCATAACGACGTTTAAATTCTCGCGACTTTTGAAAAGCGAGAAGAACGAAGAACGGAGAGCGGGAAGAAAAGGCGATATCTGGCAACTCAGTTAGTTTAGCATTTGATTAAGAGATGGCGCAGCTATCGCTTGAGTTTCTGATTAATAGTACGCAAGCTATTATTGTTATCATAATTGTGTCTTGTTTTTTTGTGCTTTTAATGTAGTAGATGATTCTGCTTCTAATCCTGATTCTGCATTGTTATTGCTGTTGTTATTATGATCATTATCGTTATAATTACTAATACTATTTTCCATATTATAGTTACTATCATTATTATCATTATCATCATTATTATCCTTATTATTATTATCTAAATCATTGTAATTATGATTGTTATTATCATTGTTATTATGATTGTTATTACCATTGTTATTATGATTGTTATCATTATTACTATTATTATTTTCATGATTATTGTTATTGCTACTATTATTGTTAATATCATTGCTAGTATCATTATCATTACTATTATTATTATTATTATTATTATTATTATTATTATTATTATTATTATTGTTGTTGTTGTTGTTGTTGTTGTTATTATTATCATTATTATTATTATTATTATTATTATTATTATTATTATTATTATTATTATTATTATTATTATTATTATTATTATTA